AACATTGGTCCATAGATGAGCCAACCTGCCGAGCTTAGAGCGCCAAAAATAAAGGGGGTTGTTCCGATCCAATGTGCTGCGATCCGCAGGCGACTTTTGTTTCTCTACCACTTTCTTTACATTATGAATGATGTTGCCAAATATATGCTTTGTTTCTAGAATTTTAGAAACTGTTTTACGCTGTTAAGTGGGCCAGAGGCAAATGATTAAGATCGAAGTATAGTCCCTGTGTTTTAGATTCATAAAATATACTTTCTTATATATATAGATCACTCATGGATCATCCAAACACATTCTACATCATTTTATCCTTCTAGTCCAAAGCCATTACCAGCTTGGTACCTCCCAAAACCAATCAAAAAGAATGCCAAGAAAAAATATTTAGAGGAAAAACAATCATAGGAATAGCAGATTATTTGAATTCGAAAAGAAAAAAAAATTACAAAAACAATATTCAGAAATATTTTACACAAGCAATTATAATGTTGTATTGCTCTATCCCAAAAAGATGTGCCTCACTTTAGCCTATGATAATCACATTTCATGTTCATTTAAAGGGTAGTCTCAGACTCTTGGAGAATCACTCTCTTGGCCTTGGCCTTCTTTCTTTTTCAAAAACAACCCTCCAACCAAAGGGATTAGAGTCTTCCTCTTCATCTTCTTCTCAAGGGAAGGGTGAGTCTCCACCATGTTAACATCTACATCTCTGCTTGTAATCAACTTTTCCAATGAAGGAGGACTTGCAAACTTGACAGACCTCTTCTTCTGAAACTGATGATCAAAATCATCTTCTGTCTGTGGCTTGACTGCAACTCTGCTTGTGTTTTCGATGAACTTGAGCTCTTCGATTTCGGGATCATCTGGCTCTTTATAAGATTCTCTTGCCTTCAACTGTTGTAACTCTCTCTTTGTCTGTTCAAGGTCTTTTTTTAGAGATTGAAGGCAAAAAGCCATGATAGTACCTTCTTCTTTTGCCTTTTGAAGGCTTTGCTTTGTCTCTTCAAATTCGGCTGTTACAGCTCTGAATTTGGATTGGTATTGTCCATTTTCTCTTGTTTTGGTTTCCATCTGACAGAAAAGTAATGACATTTGTATATGTTAATTGTCTGAGCCGAGGGTGAGAGAGAGAGAGAGAGATCAAACCTCTTTGAGCTTGTTGGCATAGATTTCCCCAGCTAAAACCTTTTCCCCAAACAACATAACTGCTTCTTTCACTGAGCGAAAGGGTTTGCGCATGTCGACCTCTACACGTCCTCTCACCACCAACCCCTCTTCTCTCTCCATGTTTAGCACTGCAGAACTTCCTGTTCTAAATCTCTACACCATGCATGCAAACACACCACAAAGAGTTAGAGAGAGAGATAGGTGGCTGTGATGAATGAGGGTGGCGATAAGGATCTCTTTTTGTTTTAATATGAAGCATGTAGAGGGGGAGAGAGAGTGAGAGAGGTGGTTCGGTCGTAAAGGTGGGATGATTTTGATTAGTTTAATTTAAGTAAAGGAAAATCATGGGCTTAATTTCTTCGCGTCCACTTCACTAGAAGTCTGTTAATTGACAGTGATACTTTCTCCTTCCATTTGCCAAAAATCACATTCATTGAGAAACCCAACAAAAGTGGTCTTTAAGGATACCCAACTCCTAACCTTTGATTTGGACCTGCCTCCTCTCTCCTGGACCCCACGGTTTAAGTCCTACTGCTAACTATTTTGGTAGGACTCAATTTTGGGAGTAAATATTGATTTAACGGTGGAATTACGTTATTATTACCACGTTATATCATTATTTAATAATAAATTTATAAATAAATAAAATGAGTTATACTTTAATAGTTATTAAATGACATGGTAGGGTGATTATTATAGTACGTGGAATTTACCTATTTATTTGTTATATTTTTTATTAAATAATGATATTACATGACAATAATAACGTGATGTCACCGTTGCACCCAATATTTTTTNGAGAAACCCAACAAAAGTGGTCTTTAAGGATACCCAACTCCTAACCTTTGATTTGGACCTGCCTCCTCTCTCCTGGACCCCACGGTTTAAGTCCTACTGCTAACTATTTTGGTAGGACTCAATTTTGGGAGTAAATATTGATTTAACGGTGGAATTACGTTATTATTACCGCGTTATATTATTATTTAATAATAAATTTATAAATAAATAAAATGAGTTATACTTTAATAGTTATTAAATGACATGGTAGGGTGATTATTATAGTACGTGGAATTTACCTATTTATTTGTTATATTTTTTATTAAATAATGATATTACATGACAATAATAACGTGATGTCACCGTTGCACCCAATATTTTTTTATAATTTTGGAGACCATTAGATTTATAAATAGACACAAAATTATAGGTTATGACTAATTATTGTTGTACATGAACTTGAAATGACACACTCTTACTCAAATAATAAACGAGTTGAGTTATGATCAATCACGGAAACTCGATTTTGATACGAAAACTCATTTTTTTAACTAGGACGATAAATCCATTTAGCTAGTGTCATGTGAGATAATTTTATGATATTTTTCTTTCACTTCTTGATCTGGTATGTGTAGATTTGACAATTCAAAACACGAGTTGTGAAATTGACATAAACACAAAACAAATTTTAACGGATTTGAGTGTAGTTTTAACGGCTTAACTCGGCAAACCGTTGAAATAAACAAATTAATTTCGTGTTTAACTTATAAATCTGTTTCAACTTGTTTAACCCATTAAGATTGACACTATAAATTTCTAAAAGAAGAAATAAAAATTAGGTCTCTAAACCTTTTGCCGCACCTCAAGAATCATGATTTCTTTTACATTCGTTATTGTGCACACACGTGTTTGCTCAGTCATGGTTTATTGCTATAATAAATAATTAAAGCATTACATATGTGTAGCGAGATGACATGGATTGTGTCAGGTAACTCGTCTAATAAATGAGTTGTATATGAGTGTGATAGTTGAATTCATTTATATAAACGAATGATACATGATTGAAGGGTTTTTTTGAAACAAAATCGTTTCATCCTACATGATAGTCAGGTCTAGATACGTGCATGAATTCTTGTAATACTTAATTTTTACAAATATCTAGACCGCGTATATTATTAGTTTGGTTTAGAAAAGGGGCTTACTAATAGTGGATTTTTAGTTAACACATTGTACTTGTCAATTCATACACAACATTATTAATGTACATGTTGGGCCAGTATCATGTGATCAAACAAATACTTTAGACAAACCACCCAAGATTTGTTAATAATAAATACTGGACTAAAACAATTCCACACAACATGATTGGATGTATTGCTGCACATGTTTACATGCTTAATGCAATGAGGTTTTTTTTTATTTTTTTTTTTATCAAAAACAAACTTTATTTATTCACAAAACCAACAGAATTACATGAAGCAAGTAAGACCATAGCCTATTTAAAACTAACAAAAGATATACAATAATCAAAAACAACCAAACAACTCCTTCCAAAAGCTCCCTCCAGACCAGTCCAATGCAGCAAACTAGCGAAGCAAAGCACATCTAAAAAACCTAACAAACTAACAATCCATCCCATGTCCCATGTTTCAAACACCATACAACCATCTAGTAACCCAGGTTGTCAAACACTACCCTCCTTCTCTTCCGTAAAAAAGGCAAATCTCTCAAGTCTTGAGTCAAAGCCAACGTCACTTCACAACATAATCTTAAATCAACCGAATAATCAATAGTCATTCTAATTAATACAACTTAATTAGCCAAGCGATCAACAATGTTATTAGCTTTTTGACAAATATGAACCAAGCCATATTCCAAACCCTTTAATATATATTTAATAAAAAATATATATGTCTATGTATATTATTCTAATTAGTTTACAATCAAATTATGGGGTTGGGGGATTTTTTTTTTTTTGGGGGTGGGGGGAGGTTTGGGTTGCAAATGGGAGAGGAAGAAGGTGGATTTTCCACATATTATTGAATGGTGAGTTGTGGTGGATGGGTTGCTGGGGGGAAGGAATGGGCTGATTTTGGATTGGATAGGGGTTTCAGTTGGTGGCTTGAGGTTTATTAGGTGCTGTGAACCTCAGTGGAGGTGGCGGTGGGGTTAGTGTGAGGAAAGAGAGGGTATACTTATTATGAAATTCTTATTCTTGGGGTTTTTGATAAAATGCAATAATTATTGGGGTTTTAATTGGATGTTGTCCGGGATGAAGATGGCTAATTTGGAAATCTTCTACAAATAAATACGCTGATGTCACTGAATTTTGACGGCACGTTGGACGGAATTCACACGGCAAAGGGAGCTATGTGTGCCGTGACACAGTACAAACTTTAGGGGTTAGAAGTATTATTTTTCATATCTTAAGGACTTTGTAATTTAGTGACAAACTTTCGGGTAGGTCAGATGTAATTCTCCCAATCTCAATTTGCGATTCGTGTTAAATTACCGAGTCGTCCACGACCTGGACGAAGAAACGGGGAGTCGGAGAGAGAGTGACTGTTTGGACGATCGCTTGCAAGCCGCCTAACCTCTCATAAAACCCTCCGACGAACGAACAATTTCGCACCAAAATCAATCTCACTTCCTATTTATCCACCAAATCACTTTCTCCATCCAAACATACCCTAAACCCTCACTAGCCGTTGTACAGTGTCAATTGTAAAGACGACCTCAAATAAAACCTCTTCATAATCTACTCTCTCTCTCTCTCTCTCTCTCTCTCTCTCTCCAAAGCCCTAGATTACAAATTTTGTTCGAATCTCTTCGTTTGCTTACACAATCTACAATCCTAGGGTTTTGTCACCATGAGTCCCATTAAGAATTTCGAGCAACACTCTCGCCACCTCATAGAACCCGACCTACGTACTCGCTCTCTCTCTCTCTCTCTCTCTGCATACTTATTCAGGTTTGTGTACGGCTTTTTTCCGTATTTGTTTTTGATTTTGTTTTTTGTTTCGTTCTGTTTTGAAACAGCAATTCAGACGAGGCTACAAATGGCGATGGAGGTACGGGACAGTTTAGAGATCACACACACAGGGGAGTACTTGAATTTCCTGAAGTGTTATTTTCGGGCGTTCTCCGCGATTCTGTATCATATAACGAAGCCCCAATTCGCCGATAACCCCGAGCACAAGCTCCGGAACATTGTGGTGGAAATTCTCAATCGTCTTCCTCACAGTGAAGTCCTTCGGCCCTTCGTTCAGGAACTCTTGAAGGTTGCAATGCATGCACTCACCACCGATAACGAAGAGAATGGGTTAATTTGCATTAGGATTATCTTCGATTTGCTTAGGAATTTTAGACCAACCTTGGAAAATGAAGTTCAGCCCTTTTTGGACTTTGTGTGTAGAATTTACCAGAACTTTAGGGCCACTGTAACTTATTTCTTTGAAAGTGGGGCGGTTTCGGCACCAGTTGCGGTTTTGGGTTCTATGTCATCGTCGACATTAAGTTCATCGGTAGGTGGGGAAGATGTGAGGCCAATGGAGTTGTCCGATCCAATATGTCCAAGTGCTGGATATGTTGGGCAGCTTAACCCGAGTACCAGGTCGTTCAAGATTGTTACGGAGAGTCCCTTGGTGGTTATGTTTCTGTTTCAGTTGTATGGCCGGCTTGTTCAGATCAACATTCCTCATTTGTTGCCATTGATGGTCGCCGCAATTTCTGTTCCGGGTCCTGAAAAGGTTCCGCCCCATCTCAAGACTCACTTCATTGAATTAAAGGGCGCCCAGGTTAAGGTAAGTGCTAGTTCTTTTTTGTGTTATTTTTTTGAAACTATCATCTGCGAGCTGCTAGAATGCTATCTTTGTGGAGCTATTTCTCTATTTGACGAAAGCTTATTGGTTTGCTTCTCTGTCATATCCTGTTCTGTACCTGAATTGAACTTGCTTTTGAAGCCAACTCTGGTCTCTCCTTTAATTCTAGCAGTTGCTTTCGGTTGCTCTTGTTGAGCAATGAAGTTGAGTACCTCAAATGCACCTACTTTCAGTTGCTCTTTTGATGAGTATATTTTTCTAAATAATAGGGAAATAAAGGAGACAACATCTCAGATTCTTATGGATTGAGTACTTTTTCTGTGAGGATTTTGTTGTGACAGATGAGCGATGCTTTTTTATGACATGTTGCTCAACATAAAATTGAGTGATTCTGCACTAGGATTGTCAGATGAATGCGTGTTTGAAATCTAGTGTCAATTGTACTCCTTATTCCCTAGTAAGAGGCAGTGGTGAGAAACTGCTTTTTTGGAGATTCTTCCCTCTAAAATGTATTTCCATTTATCATACATAGGCAAGTCCACTCATTGGCTAAGATGATTCACATATATCTTATCCTGTTTTCCCTGATCACATGCAGCTTTCCTTCATCTCATTTCTTTCTCCTCTAAATATATTGAGATACTGGTGTCGAATATAACCACAAAGGGGGTAGACAAACTTAAAACAATAGCTTTGACGAGTTGGTAAGCAGATGTGAAAAATTCCAACACCAATCATGTATGAGTGAATATTATACGAAGAATTGATAAGCAGATGAGTTTTCTTGTTGGCTTTGTTTTTTTTTTCCTGGAAGGTATCTAGTTGGCTGTGCTAGTATAACTTAGACAGAGAAAAGAAACACTCTACTAAGGGGCTTAATTTTCAAATTTGGGACCTTTGTCCCCTCCCTCCTTTCCCTTTTCCTTGCTTGTCCTTTGAAAACTAGAAAACTTGTATAGAGGAGTTTATGTATAAATATGCTCCTCCACTGATCCTACCTCTTAACCAAAGACAACTCCATTGAGTGATAGAGGTAAAGCAGAATAGCCACCACATCGAAGGATTACAAGAGATGCCTATGCCCAAAAAGCACCAATCGAAATGGGAGATTCTCGGGATCAATTGAGGTCTTTATCATCAGAGAAATTGGGGACATAGGCAGGGTATAAGTATTCTTTCTACTGCAAAAGACTAATCAAAAGCCTATGTTTGAACGATAACAAGGGCAGAAAACATCAATTAACAAGGGAATTAAAATTGAAAATCAAAGGTGAAGTGGAAAGATTTCCTTTTATATGAACTCACTTCATTTTTATGAAAGGAAATGAATATCTGTTGATATTAAATAATTAATTACCAAAAAAGCCGGATGTGGCTTTTTTAGAAATAGAGAANAGGTACGGGACAGTTTAGAGATCACACACACAGGGGAGTACTTGAATTTCCTGAAGTGTTATTTTCGGGCGTTCTCCGCGATTCTGTATCATATAACGAAGCCCCAATTCGCCGATAACCCCGAGCACAAGCTCCGGAACATTGTGGTGGAAATTCTCAATCGTCTTCCTCACAGTGAAGTCCTTCGGCCCTTCGTTCAGGAACTCTTGAAGGTTGCAATGCATGCACTCACCACCGATAACGAAGAGAATGGGTTAATTTGCATTAGGATTATCTTCGATTTGCTTAGGAATTTTAGACCAACCTTGGAAAATGAAGTTCAGCCCTTTTTGGACTTTGTGTGTAGAATTTACCAGAACTTTAGGGCCACTGTAACTTATTTCTTTGAAAGTGGGGCGGTTTCGGCACCAGTTGCGGTTTTGGGTTCTATGTCATCGTCGACATTAAGTTCATCGGTAGGTGGGGAAGATGTGAGGCCAATGGAGTTGTCCGATCCAATATGTCCAAGTGCTGGATATGTTGGGCAGCTTAACCCGAGTACCAGGTCGTTCAAGATTGTTACGGAGAGTCCCTTGGTGGTTATGTTTCTGTTTCAGTTGTATGGCCGGCTTGTTCAGATCAACATTCCTCATTTGTTGCCATTGATGGTCGCCGCAATTTCTGTTCCGGGTCCTGAAAAGGTTCCGCCCCATCTCAAGACTCACTTCATTGAATTAAAGGGCGCCCAGGTTAAGGTAAGTGCTAGTTCTTTTTTGTGTTATTTTTTTGAAACTATCATCTGCGAGCTGCTAGAATGCTATCTTTGTGGAGCCATTTCTCTATTTGACGAAAGCTTATTGGTTTGCTTCTCTGTCATATCCTGTTCTGTACCTGAATTGAACTTGCTTTTGAAGCCAACTCTGGTCTCTCCTTTAATTCTAGCAGTTGCTTTCGGTTGCTCTTGTTGAGCAATGAAGTTGAGTACCTCAAATGCACCTACTTTCAGTTGCTCTTTTGATGAGTATATTTTTCTAAATAATAGGGAAATAAAGGAGACAACATCTCAGATTCTTATGGATTGAGTACTTTTTCTGTGAGGATTTTGTTGTGACAGATGAGCGATGCTTTTTTATGACATGTTGCTCAACATAAAATTGAGTGATTCTGCACTAGGATTGTCAGATGAATGCGTGTTTGAAATCTAGTGTCAATTGTACTCCTTATTCCCTAGTTAGAGGCAGTGGTGAGAAACTGCTTTTTTGGAGATTCTTCCCTCTAAAATGTATTTCCATTTATCATACATAGGCAAGTCCACTCATTGGCTAAGATGATTCACATATATCTTATCCTGTTTTCCCTGATCACATGCAGCTTTCCTTCATCTCATTTCTTTCTCCTCTAAATATATTGAGATACTGGTGTCGAATATAACCACAAAGGGGGTAGACAAACTTAAAACAATAGCTTTGACGAGTTGGTAAGCAGATGTGAAAAATTCCAACACCAATCATGTATGAGTGAATATTATACGAAGAATTGATAAGCAGATGAGTTTTCTTGTTGGCTTTGTTTTTTTTTCCTGGAAGGTATCTAGTTGGCTGTGCTAGTATAACTTAGATAGAGAAAAGAAACACTCTACTAAGGGGCTTAATTTTCAAATTTGGGACCTTTGTCCCCTCCCTCCTTTCCCTTTTCCTTGCTTGTCCTTTGAAAACTAGAAAACTTGTATAGAGGAGTTTATGTATAAATATGCTCCTCCACTGATCCTACCTCTTAACCAAAGACAACTCCATTGAGTGATAGAGGTAAAGCAGAATAGCCACCACATCGAAGGATTACAAGAGATGCCTATGCCCAAAAAGCACCAATCGAAATGGGAGATTCTCGGGATCAATTGAGGTCTTTATCATCAGAGAAATTGGGGACATAGGCAGGGTATAAGTATTCTTTCTACTGCAAAAGACTAATCAAAAGCCTATGTTTGAACGATAACAAGGGCAGAAAACATCAATTAACAAGGGAATTAAAATTGAAAATCAAAGGTGAAGTGGAAAGATTTCCTTTTATATGAACTCACTTCATTTTTATGAAAGGAAATGAATATCTGTTGATATTAAATAATTAATTACCAAAAAAGCCGGATGTGGCTTTTTTAGAAATAGAGAATTAGCTCATTTCCCTATATAAGTACGACCCATTGAACACACTTTCTTACTAAAGAGAATCAACCATACAAAATATAGAAGTAAAATTGGATAGAGCCATGATATAGATTAGAAAAGCTGATGCAAGATGCTTTCTTTCTGGTGGACTTTTGTCGTTTGTCGATCCAGGAGAAAGAAAACATGTTATATCAGCTTTTCTAATCTATATCAAGGCTCTATCCAATTTTACTTCTATATTCTGCTTGGGTCTTTCTTTTCTAACCTACCTCAAACCCAGTCATCACAGTCGCAAAATTCCCTCCAAATGTGGCCTGTTTGCCATTCAAGTAATAGGCAACAATGAGAAACTCTCACCAAGTTGCAGGTATAGTATTCCTAAGAGTGTTCGTTTCTTGAATGGAGGAGCTAAAGCAGTTGATGAATGTCCTGATTGGTAGACATGGGAACTAGTGAGACGGTATGCAGTACCAGAAAACTCTAAATCAACAGTAGGACGAGGCGAACCCTTTTCAATCAGTGGACCATTTTCAACCTATTGAGTGCAAAAAATTGGGAATAGGGAGATAATCCATAAGGTTCCATTCTCTTGTGTTGATTCTGAATCCAACTAAATTCTTATGTTGAAGTCACGTTCTTCTCTCTCTCCCTATCTCCATTCTAGCTTCCTCTCCTTCATCGTTTTCTCTCCCTTCCTAATTCTTTAAGCTAGTCAATTTCCATCCCTCTTTTTTGACTTTTACCCTCCTTATCAAGAATGGCTTTTATTGGTGTTGTGAGGCAATATGATCCATGTGTATTGTCAATTTGACTCCCTAGTTATCCTCTCGATCTTCATGTTCTAAAAACTAGAATATATATTTCAAGAAATGGAAGTGAAATCTTAAAATTGGATTTCACCCAGACTTCAATGAAGGCTAGTTCCTACTCCTCCTTTCTTCTTTAGGATATGACCATTATTGATCTTTTTCTCTCTTGCTGCTCAAGGTGGTCGATTCCTGTTGTCGGTTACCTATGTCTGCCTGCTGATTGCTCGACCATCTCTCTCTCTATGATATTTTGAACTCCTATTTAAATCCTGAATCGCATATACAACATAAGAATTGGGGATGATCTAGCAGCTTCTTCATGTTTGCACCCTTTTCTATCATCACAAGTGTATGTATCAGATAGGTATCTTCCAATGTGGCTTTCTAAGATGCAGACATGGAAGATACCTCCAGAAAGAAAGCCACATGAAGAAAGAGATGGCTGCATTTGCACCTTAGGGCTGATTGGTTAACTGGGTACTGCTAGCTAATTTTATTAAAAAAAAAAAATAGTAATCAGTTTTGAGACACTTGTGAACCGTGTTAATTGTTCATAATGTTTAGTAATGACTCTGGAGGCAATCAAAATATAATAAAATTCATTGTTTTTTAAATCGTACGATTGACAATTTAATTCTTATGATTCAATTTAGTCCCCATTCAATTCGTATCTTACTATAGAATCATTTTTGGCCAAGGATCGCAAGAATTATATGATTTGATCCGAATCGAAGGAATCTCATGATTTGTTTTTTTTTTTTTTTGAAATCCAATTTATAGCAAAATGATGTCGTTTCGCTAGAAGAGACCCACCCCCAAATATAAAACTCATGTTTCTCTCGGTATCTGTTGTTCGCATCTTTGCCTCTTAAGCGACTGTTAAAACATCTTGTGAACATCACACATAGATACATCTTCTTCACACAAGTATGCTTCTTCATCAAAAATTGCTACTTAAACTCTAACATACCCTACTTTTTCTTCCTCTTCTTCTTCTTCTTTAATACATGTGCTGTTTTTTGTTTTTCATCATAAAATTATTTTTTAATTGAATGTGGGAAGTGATTTTTTAAGTTTACTTATTTGAATTAGTATGAGCTTTTCCTATTTTAGTTNAAGAGCTCATTTCCCTATATAAGTACGACCCATTGAACACACTTTCTTACTAAAGAGAATCAACCATACAAAATATAGAAGTAAAATTGGATAGAGCCATGATATAGATTAGAAAAGCTGATGCAAGATGCTTTCTTTCNGAGACCCACCCCCAAATATAAAACTCATGTTTCTCTCGGTATCTGTTGTTCGCATCTTTGCCTCTTAAGCGACTGTTAAAACATCTTGTGAACATCACACATAGATACATCTTCTTCACACAAGTATGCTTCTTCATCAAAAATTGCTACTTAAACTCTAACATACCCTACTTTTTCTTCCTCTTCTTCTTCTTCTTTAATACATGTGCTGTTTTTTGTTTTTCATCATAAAATTATTTTTTAATTGAATGTGGGAAGTGATTTTTTAAGTTTACTTATTTGAATTAGTATGAGCTTTTCCTATTTTAGTTTAACTTCGTTGGTATGACGACGAGCTATTTGTTGGTTAAAAATAATGCATCTTTCATCGTGTCTATTTTGAAGGAACAATTTATTATGCATTAAGAAAAAAGTAATAGAGGTATAAACTCAAGTGCAACTTTATAAAGATTTATAGAGGTTAACATCTTTCTATTTAGACGACGTGATCATGTCAATACATCAATTGATTATTATTAAAATAAAATAATGTTCAATATTTAATATCTTGCCTATTTTAAATATGTAACTTGTTAAACTTCTATCATTGTTTGAATATTTTTTTGAATCTTACTATTCTCGATTCTCAAATTTAGGATTTTGATTCCTCATATGAATCTTGATTTGATAACTATTAAAATTAGTAATATAACTAAAATGTTTTGAAGAAAATGTAAATAAAAATAATAAAAAAAACAATCTGGTTTGATTTAGGTTGATTGAGTTTGTGAAATACTTTCCATGCATAATCCCGGCGAAGTTTTAATTGAAGGTGTAAATCTACCTGTCAAATCCTTATGGGGACAGTGATCAGACAGTGAGGTGCAGGTTTGATGTGCTGAGGTGGCATGGATGCAATGCAACTGAGCTGCCTGTAATCATACCATTTTATTGGATTCTGGAATCTTCTCTTTCTGTGTGTTTATATGGTTTCTAATACGTGTTATGAGTTTTTCCATAAGAAATAAACTAGATTCCACTGGCATAGGAAGGTACCCTGCAGTGCTGCTAGTTGCAGATTTTGTTTAAAAATCCATTGGAAAAACCGTGTTGAGGGACTGGGCATGTTGATTTTATCAGGTTTGTTCGATGTTGAATAGAAAGGATGGGTTTACAGGTATAAAATGATGGATAATAGAAGAGATGAGAGGGGAAAGAGGGGTAAAAGAATACCTTTTGATTTTTTGCACTCAGGCATCCAGCAAACTGATTGAGCAATATAGTAGGTGTCAGACAGAATATATTAGGAATTCACTTGCTAAAGTACAAACTTGTATTGAACATAAGAAGTAGGAAGAAAGAAAGCCCAACTTATGTGTTTTACCTTTCTGTTGTTTAAAAGAAGAAAAAGTGTTTTTGTTTAATGTATATGTGATCTGCGGTGGAGCTACTCTATGGCCAAAGGGGCCATGGCCCCCCCTCCCCCTCCTGTACTTATGTGGACCTTATAGATATGTTAAATACTTGTTGGAGTTATGTACTGTCAAGAGAGTTGGTCCTCCCTTTCCATTTCCACATACACACTCAATAGTTTCTGGGGAAGTGATCCACGAACTTATCCCATAAGATTCTATCAAAGTTGTTAAGAAATATATTTAGTTTGTGACCCATTTCAAATTATTTTGTTAAAATACTCTCTTTGTCAAATGAAAACTTAATAAAATACTCTTTTAGATAAATTCCTGTCAGTCAAATTATTTAGTTTGCCT